AACAACCACAACAGAGGGTAAAAGTCAAACCCAAACCTAACCAAACCTAACCTTCTGTTTGCTCTAAGAGAAATGGCCATGCTGCATTGGCAAGCCCGGGTGATTAGGCTCCTGGAGAGATCGTTAGGGATTTCAGGAGAGTCTTCCTTGCTGTCCACTGGGGTGAGACACACGTGACGGCAGTCCTGGAGTCTCTGGAGCCTGGCTGCAGGGAGCCTGTCTAGGGCTGCCATAGCTACAGGCATTGCCAGATGTACTTATATTTTATGTGTACATGTGAGTGCCTGAATGTGTGTATGTGTGCCACGTGCATGCCTGGAGCTTTCAGAAGCCAGAAGAGGATGCTTGATCTCCTAGAACAGTGGTCTGTCCTAGAACGAGAGTTACAGGTGGTTGTGACCTGTATGATATGGGTGCTGGGAACCGAATCTGTGTCTTCTGAGAGAGCAGCAAATGCGTTGACCCTCTCTTTTGCTTTTAATAGTGGCAGCGGGTGGGCTATGGACTAAGGGCAGGAGCTGAAAACCTTCATTTACCCCTAACAAGCCCACAGGCAGGAGGCACATCTTTCCTCGTTTGGGGACAGGAGATATCACCTAGGTGCCCCATGAAAAGTCTGGAGTGGAAATAGTGGAGTTAGGACTTAGGTCAGTGTCTCCCAGCTGTGGGACTCTAGGCTACTGTACAAAAAGATTATCAGGTGGCCATTTCTCTTGGATGCCAAAAGTGACCAATAGGTGGCGGCAGAGCCCTGTAGGAACAAAGCCTTGCGATTTCTTTAGGCAGGCAGTCTGGGTCTACAGAGCCCACTCTAGCAAGAGACTCCTGCACCCCAGTACTACAGACTGCAGTCACCACAGTGGGAAGAGGGGTTTAATGGAAACCCGACCCATGTCTAAGGCCAAGCTCGGAGGATGGGCTTAATGGAAACCTGACCCGTGTCTAGTGCCAAGCTCTTCCCATCCTGGGCTTCTTTTACGCAATCAGGCTTCTCATCAAACAGGACAGTTCAGGATCAAATGGGGCAAAGACCTAGGTAGTGAATGGGCTGGTGGTAATGCAAACTGTGAGAGTATGCGCTTGGCCTGGTAGAGCTGACTTGTGCATGGAGTTCTGAATGGCAAGCCTTAAAACAAAACAAAACAAAGCAAAAACCCAAGACACACCCACCCCCAAATCCTGAATATCCAGTTTATCTTGATAATCTATAGCTTCTACCTCAAAATGATGTCCACAGGAGTTCCAGCTAGCTTCCCCTTCCCACAGGCCACAGGGCAGAAGAGTCTTATAGCAAGTCTCCATGCTGAAGGCCTGGCCTATCCTGGGTTAGGAAAGCCCCAGATGGGTTTGTGTGTGTCTGCCCTGTGGCCTACGGTAGAATCTTGACATACTCCTTCACTTCTCCTGACTGCTGGGGACCTGAGCGGAATCAGGGATGGGCAGAAGGGAGGCCCTGGAATCCACCTGCTCCAGGAGAGCGAAGTCTGCAGGAGCCCTGGCAGCTCACCTTTCCTTGAGGCTTGTTTATGGGAACTTCAGGGGACAGACATTTGTAGGCTGCCAACTCCTCTGATAGGCTAGCTTTGGTTTAGTTTCTTGGCTCTCATTCAAGGCTGACATAGCCTCCAGGTGGCCAAGAAGTCACAGCAGTGGCTCTGAGGAATGGCCTCCTGTCCCCTCGGCTCTTGGCAGCTCACAGAGTATTAGTCGTGAATTATAGCCTCTGCCAGCACAGCATTCACAGAGGGTATCAAATGCCCCTTAGTGTTAAGTTAGACCTCCTTCCCCGGGGAGCCCTCCCTTATCTTCCAAGCAGGAACATTTATTCCTTCTTCGGAAGTGTCCCCACAGTAGGCTGGGAAGCCCCCAGGGAGGCCTGTTAGATTCTGCCTGTGTAGCCACCAGTGGTCAATATGTGTGTCTCCTTTGTGTGGGATGTTTGATCTTGTGTCCCCTACACTTGGCCCCGGTGCCTGATAGGTGTTTACCAAGTCAGCGAGTGAGAGAGAACACTACAGGTTGAGCAATCCTATATCTGAAAATCAAAAAGACTCCAAGAATATGAAAAAAAATTGAGCACTAACATGATGTCCCAAGTGGAAAATTCCGCACATGACCTCATGTGATGGGTTGCAATCAAAACAGGTATTATTAAAAATATTGTGTGTTCTCTAAAACTGCCTTTAGACTATGTGGATGATGTGCATATAAACATACATTAACTGCCCCGTAAAATCACTTTCATGTGGGATTTCTGGAGCTTGGGGCCCCTTAAGATTATGAGCGGAAGGGCAGTGACATGCTGCCACCAGGGTTGGCATGAGAATCCAAGTCATCTGCCTGGATGCCCATCATTCGGTTCTTTCCAAGGGCATGCCATCTCCCTAGTGGACTTGACAAACTCATACAGCTCCTTAGTGGCAACTTTAGAAGGCAGCAATGGTCTCCTACTTGGCATAGTGTTTCTGGAAGGCTCCTCACTCTGCAGAGTCCAGCTGCTCCTGGAAGCCTGTTTTTAGCCTCCCGTCCTATACCGTCCACACCACCGCTCATTTGCCAAGTCCTATTTTACACTCACCAGCACCCTAGCAAATACCCATCAGTGTCACAGGAAGACAGCCAGGGGAGGAGAAGACGAGTACTTCTTTACCCTCTAAGTGACACCAAGTGCTTTCTCTCAGGCATATGGTTGGTCTGTCTCCCTACTCTCTGTCCTTCCCACTTGGTCCAGGGTCACCAGTTTCAGAAACAAAGATGTTGGGAGACCCCGTGTCTGCTGTGTCCTACTGCCCGAGGCTGGTCTCGTCTCTCTTCATCCTCCACTGGGAGCCTTCTGCTCTGGCCGGTACCCCGGCCACTGTCTCTGGTTTTGCTGCTGTCCCAACCTAGTCCACCTACTTGTCCTCTCTGCACACACAAGTTTCTCCCTTCGTGATCCACCTCAAATGGCTCCTTCTCCAGGGACTTTTCACATATTAACCTCTGCTTCTAAATCTATGTATCGGTCTGGATGTGATGGCGCACACCTTGTATCCTAGTGTTCTGGAGGCAGAGGCAGGCAGGTCTCTGGGAGTTTGAGGCTAGCCTGGTCTACACAGTGAGTTTCAGGCCAGTTGGGATGACACAGTAGGATCTTGTTTCAATTTTTTTTTCTTTTTTATTCATGAGAATCACCTGAAAGATTCCTTAAACATAGATTTGCTATCTTCTCCCTGACAGCTTCAGATTCATTACTTCTGGGGTGAGGACTGAAGATGTATATTTCTGTATTTTTACCATGTCAGTAGGTATTGCCAACTCAGGGACCACAGTCTTCTCTGAGAATCACTGTTTCCTTCTCCTTTGCTCTTTCTCTTTCATCTCCTACTCTACCGTGTGTGTGTGTGTGTGTGTGTGTGTGTGTGTGTGTGTGTGTGCGTGTGCGTGTGCGTATGCGTGTGTGTGTGTGTGTGTGTGATATGAAGACTAAACTTGGGCTGCATGTTGGATAAACACCGTTCTAATGAGCTACGCCCTCCAGTCCAAACTGCTGTTTGTTTATTTAGTTTTTTTGAGACAGGGTAGCCCTTGCTGTCCTGGAACTCACTATGTAGACCAGGCTGGCCCTGAACTTGCAGAGATCCGTACACGTTCTTTGGCCCCGGAAGTACTGGAATTAAAGGCGTTCGCTACCATGACCAGCTCACACCATTGCCTTTAACCAAGGGTTTTCAAACTGGGTGTGCTAGAGGAGAATCACCAGCCTGTGCCTCCCAGCTCTGCCAGGCAGTTCTGCCTCTATGTAGTAACAGCCTTCAGTTCAACACAAAGTTTCAGCTGAAGAAAAGATTTAGTTAATCGGAGAAGCGCATAAGTCCCCAGGGGGGCGCGGCCTCTTCTGTGTGCGGTCTTCCTGAGTTTGGCTCCTTCCACTGCTGGTTTTCCGTGACTCGGGGGTAACACAGACAGGCCCTGAAAGCTCTAGTGGTCATTTAAAAACAACCATAAAATATAACTACCTTTCCATTTTAATCATGATTTGGTAGAGGTTTGAGTGACCATTAGCTGAAGTGATCAGGATCAGAGTTCGGGTTATTTGCATATGGCTTACAGACGGACTGTCCTCCATCTAACACGCTCTAAAACCGGAAAACTTTTCAGTATCATAAAGTTTCTGATTCTCGAGAATTATTTCAGACGAGGCATGCTCACTCTGTCCTTTACTAAAGGGCAGGAACCATTTAGCGTGAATGGGTGTGTCTGTGTGCGACGTCACTTACTCTGAAGGGCGTGAGCGGGCTGAGTGTGGGCTGAAGGGGGCACACGAGGGAACCATTACACAGCAGCCATCTAGAAAGCAGGGGGTGCAGTCTGCAGCTAAGGTGTCCCCCAAAGGCTTGTGTGTTGAAGGCCTGGTCCAGAGTCTGTGGTGCTCCTGGGAGGTGGTGGGACCTTCAAGAAGTAGGGCCTATGTGGGAAGTCCTCTGCTCACTGAGGGGCACAGCCTGGAGGGAATGACGGGACTCTGGGCCCCTCTTCTCTCTTTGCTTTGCAGCTGCCATGAGGTTTGAAGACCTGCTTTCCACCATGATGAGAGAGTCAAAGTGGTGAAGCCAAAGAGACTGAAATCTCTAAAACCGTGAGCCAAGAGAAACCTTCCCTCTTTGTAAGTTGGCCATCTCTGGCATTTTGTTACAGCTATGGCAAGCTGCCCAACCTACAGGGCGACGGTTAAGAAGACTTAAAGTTTAGGAAACACTGTCTTTCAGAACACTTTGAAAGTCACCTGAGCACAGTCCTGTTCCCTGGGTGCTCTTGAATTTCCTCTTCTTGAATTGCATTCTAATCGCCCTGCTTTCTTTCTTAAACTAATAAAAGATTAGGATGACATTTTGAAAAGGGCACCTCATTAAGCAGCCTCATCTCCATTGGAGCACCTGGCTCCATGCTCAGTAACCAGCTGGCCATTTATCTTATGGTAATGAGGTGTCATCTCCGCACATGGGCCTGCCTTCCGTTCCTGCTTCTGCCTCCCACAGCATCTTTCTCCCTCCCACCTGCCAGTCCGGGAGAAGCGTGTCTATGTGGGGCAGGAGCCCCAGCGTCACCTGGTGTCTACTCCGTAGGAACATAGTCTGTGGCCGAGAGGGGTGTTTTTACCTGTACACCGTGGTTGGAGGGGAGCTCAGGCTGTCGTACACCAGCCTCACATGGCCTTGGTACAGCTCCAGTGCCAAGGGGTCATTGTCTCCCTTGTAAAGAAGGATGCCGTTGTCCTTGTCAGTGGCCACCTAGGGAGAGCAACCAGGGTATGTGGGTTAGGACTTACCCAAGTGCCAACCTCTCGTGACCCTACTCCCAGCACCCTCTCCAGTTGGCTGTCTCAGAGTCTGGACCGGACTGGACTTCAAATCCGTATCTCTTTCCCCATCTGGCTTATATTGCAAAGGCTAGCAGAGCAAATGACCTCAACAAATATGCATCGAGCATGTACTATGTGCCACGACATCAGGGTCACACGTCGAAGATGCTCAAGTCCCTCATATGAAAGGACATCTGCATCGAATGCACACACTCCTCCCACGTGATTTCCACCCTCTCTCTAGATGATGACGCTACCTGACACAGGGGAAATGCTATGGTAACAGCTGTAATGCATACGTAGAGGTCACCATCACGCCCAACCTTTTGAGGTTGTGATCTAACCCTGTCATCTGTAAATTCACACCAGGGAACTGTGCAGTAGACTTCTTAAAAAAAAATTCACAAATAAAAACATCTCATAATGTTTTAAGGAACTTTCCCATTTTGTTTGGCTCATACTCATCATTATCCTTGGCCACACACGGCCTGAGGGCCGTGGGCTGAACATACCGGGCAGGGGCTAAGTGTGCCCATATGTGTTCAAGAGAGTGGCAATGTTCTTTAAGATGTTTTTGATCTGTGGCTGGTTGAGTGTGCAGGGGTGGAACCTGGGCTGGTTGTTAACTATGCAGATCAGGAGACCCCCAACTCTAAGCTGTCTCTCCTACTAGTATACAACCTGATCCAACCAAGTACCGGCCCCTGTGGAAGCCTGTCTCCGCGTGAAACACAGACTAACAGTTGTAAACAAAGGTTGAAGACCAGAGCTTAACTCAGTGTAGCCTAGGGAGCAAACAATGTCTTCAGGGCTGTCTGGAGCAGTTAACAATAAATACCACTGTCTGGGTTTCACCTCTGAGCAAGTCAGCATGAGCCTTTGTGGGCAAACGTAAGTTTAAAAGCTCTGCAGATGATTCTAGGTGGTGCTGAGGCTGGAAGCCAGGCTTCAGGAGAAGCTGCCCTGCTGGCCAGCTGGCTGCTGGGTGAGTCTCCACAGGAGTGGACGTTCAGCAGGTCCATCTGATAGCGGATTTGGACGTCTGGAGCACTGGAGGCTGGGCTGGTGGAGAGGAGTGAAGGAAGGATGCGGGAGGGCGGGGGAAGTGAGAGCTCCCTATTTGTCCTAGCATCGATGCCCATGGTACCGTCCTGTCTACCGGTCAGGCTCTGCAGGGAGAGTATCTTCTTGGGTACCCTTCAGCCCTGCGGTCTGGAGCAGAGCCTGCTGCTGGGGAGAGGTGCTCAAGAGATCCTTGCTGAGTGAGCGTTTCATTTGGAAGCTCCAGACTGAACCTTGGCTAAGGATGCAGAGCTCATGCCCAGCAGCACCCAGCAGCTCCTGGGCTACTAGTTGGCTCGCACTGTCCAGGTGCATCCCTGGGGCTAAGGTGCTGAGAAAACAACTTGGTTCATACTAAACACTTTTCCATCCCTCAGTGTGTCCTGCTTGCTTGTGCCTTCAGGGCTCTGCAAATGCAGCTCTCTCAGCTAGCCCCTCCCCAGCCTTTGTCCTTTACTCGTCACCCGACTCTCTTATCCCTCTCCCCAGGACTTAGGTCAAGTGCTACATAGGCTTCCGATCTCCACTTAGCTCTTCCTGCCTCTAGACAGCCTCCTCTGGTTCCTCCCTAGAGGCTGGGAGCACGTGCTCTGTGCTCCCTCAGCACTCATCCTCTCTTGTCGTCTTCTCCTTCATTGTCATCCTGGCTGCTCTGTCCTCCATACCACCCGGTCCCCACTGTCCAGCACAGGAGAGCTGCAGGAGTGATCTTTAAGGGATGGGTGAGAGAGACAGCGAGGAGCTGATGCACGCTGTGAGACTCACCAGGAGGTTTCTTAGGGACCACTCTGGGTTGACCCAGGCCCTGAAAAGCTGAGCACTGTCTGTGAAGTTCCGGGAGAAGAGGCAGGCTTGCTAATGGTCTGGGACCATTAGCCGTACTCTGAGGGGTGCCACACTCAGGTCCTTCCAAGGATGGTAGCTGGGAAGGGGAGAGCGCATACCTGCAGGGAGATGTTGGCCTGGGGCCGGACCTTGGCGGAGGCCAGTTCCACATAGGAGTCCTTGCCTACGAAGTTCACAGTGATGAGCTTCTCACACCTGGGCCCAGCAAAGCCTGGGGGACAACGGCAAGTGGGCTCCTGCTGCACCACAATGCACTGCGCCCCGTTCTGGCACTCATACTGGTCACAGGGGCTGGTCTGAAGCAGAACCATGGGTGGGGGATGCTCACAGAAGAGACCACTGGAAAGAAGGCATGGGAGAGAGGAGACAACCAGAGTTATTAGATAAGAGAAAGGTACAGTGGGAAGTTCCATTCTTGCCTCTAACTGAAGTGAGTCCTTTTAAGTTTCAGTCTCTCTCTTTTTTAAAAAGCTGAGTCAATGCATGCAAATGGCCCAGCTCAGTGGGTAAAGGTGCTTGCTGCCAAGCCCGATGACCTGAGTTCAATTCCTGGGACCCATGGTAGAAGAGAGAACTGATTGACTCTCAGATTGTCCTTTGATATCTACAAGTGTGTGTGTGTGTGTGTGTGTGTGTGTGTGTGTGTGTGTGTGTGTGTGTGTATGTGTGTGTGTGTGTGTGTGTGTGTGTCATAGCCAGCCAGCAGGTAAATTCTGCCTTACAAAGAAAGGTGTTCTGACACCTACAACAACATGGATGGGTCTTGAGAGCACTGTGCTAAGTGAAAGGAACTATCCACAAAGGCCAGTACCATCAAATAGTCAGGTTCCCCAGAGACAAATGGAGAGTGAGGTTGTCAGTGTTACAGGGAGGGAATGAGGAGTTGTTGATGGTGCTGGGGTTGGAATTTTGAAAGGTATTAAGAGCTCTGGAGATGGAGACATGTGTGAATATTCTATTAAAAAAGGATTTATTTAAACAAGTTAATTTTGAATTATGTGTGTGTGTGTGTGTGTGTGTGTGTGTGTGTGTGTGTGTGTGTGTGTATGTGTGTGAGTGCCTGTGCCCACAGAGGCCAGAGGGGTTGGATCCTTCTAGAGCTGGAGATATATATGATTGTGAATTGCCTGATGTGGGAGCTGGGAACCGAACTTGAGTAGCGAGCGCTATTAACTGTCGAGCCAACATGACTATTCTTAACACTGTTGAACTGCTTCCCTAGGTTCAGATGAGGGCTGGGGAGAACCCACAGCTGCCTTCTTGGCTCACTCTCTTGGAGTCTATGTCAAAGTTAATCTGCATATTTTATATTCATGCCATCCAATCTGATTTCAGTCTGAGTTCCCTTTAGTACAGTCCCTGCTCCCCCAGTTTCCTGTAAACCCATGCCTAACTCTTCCAGTCCAGGTTGAGGGGGACCTGGAGCGCAGGCTGCTTTTTCTACACACCCCAGACATCTAACCATCTGACCAAAGCCTCTTACTTGACATTTCTTCTAGCTCCAGTTCCAGAGACTGACCCCAAACACTCTACTGAATTACTTCCACTTTTTCATTGTCTTTTGTTATTTGGTGCTAGGGACTGAACCCGGGCTCATATGCATGATAAGCATCGAGCTACACCCTCAGCCCTCACGCCTTTTTCTGCCATTAAGATACCATAAATGTTTTTGGTTTCCAGCCACCCCACAAGACGGTGGCATCTTCCATTAGGTAGAATCATACGTGGGTGACAATGTGAGCGTGGACTCAGGTCTAGCTTCTACATGGAGTTGCCCTGGTTGGCTGCAGGGAGGCCTGCATCCCCGCCTCCTCCTGCCATCTAGTCCAGGCTACCTGCCTCCTGAGACGCTCCTCCGCCATACCTGAAGCCCTGGGGGCAGATGCATGTGTAGCCATTGACTGCGTCCACACACTGGGCTCCGTGGCGGCACTTGTGGGCTGCACAGTCGTCATTGTCTGTCTGGCACAGCTTCCCGCTGTAACCAGGGGCACATTCACACCTGCAACATAGGCAGAGAGAAACTTGCTCAGGGCCGGCCAACCTGTCCGGCAGATGCTCTCGTACCCCCTCTTGCCAAACCTCTCTCTCCACCTACTCTAGTTCCTTAAGGGTTCACCAGGCCTGCCTCTGCTCCCGGGCTCCACTCAGGGTGCACGGCCTTTGCTCTCAGAGTCAAGGTCTGTCTGTTGCAGGCAGGGGGCAAGCTTTGCTTTCAGAACCAGGCTGGGAGCACAGGAGGCATCATGCAGCTTTTGGGTCAGATCTGGTTCCTTCTGCTGAGCACCTTCCAGGGGCACCACATCAGATCCTCAGGGGCCGGTAGGGGAGGCCCTATCCAAAGCAGCATCCAGAAAGCGCTCAAGCCACCTCCCCAAAGCCTCATCGAGTGCTGGCTGCACTTACTGTGTTAGATGCTATTCTAGGTGTACCGGCCACTCAGGGCCTCCCTAGCTTGCGCGTTCTCTCAAAGCCACTGGTCTTCAATCAGCTCTGCTGCTCTGGAGTACAGTGGACACCGTGTCCAGTCAGACAGTGCAGTAGAGATGATGAAGACAAGGATGAAGGAAGCGATGGCATCTGCACTCCCCTGCCTTTGTTTCCTTGCTTGTTCAGACACTCACACTCAGTTAGGAAGGATGAAAAGCTCTTATCTCCCAGGGGACAGGATGGGAGCAGCGGCCTTGCGCAGGCCCCTGTCCAGCTGGTCCAGCCCTTCCCTAGAGATCAGCGGGTCCACAGCCCTCCCATACTTCTCTAGCACCGAGACTAAGCCTGTATGTAGCCAGAACACGTGTCCGTGGCTCATTTGTGTGAGGTGACACAAAACCCATATCTGTGCCCGGAAACAGACCTGTGATCCCCCAGGGCTAAGGCGACCCTACAAACACACACTGATGTAATGCTTACTTGCCTCGCGCCCTCCTGCAAAGCCTGGGCACCTCTCTGGCCCATCAGCTCAATTCTTCTGGGCAGAGTAAAAATCCAAATGCCATCTCTCCAAGGCAGAGGGAGAGGGGGCACAGGCAGGGAGTGCAGGGCGAGCAAGAGCTCTCAATTCTGAGCTTGCACCCTCAGGACCTGACTCTGGGGCGGGGGGGGGGGGGGGG